GAGGGCACGGGAGGAGGGGAGGGAATGGGAGAGGGACCTGGAACTGACTTGTGAAGCAACCTTGTGTCTTATCTAAATTTAAACTGGAAAATAAAATTAAAAAAAAAAAAGAATGGCAGCTGAACCTGGCACAGTGGCTGACATTTTTAATTCTAGCACTTGAGAGACTGAGCCGGAGGATGGAGAGTTCAAGGCCAGCCTGATCCCCGTAGTGAAACCTTGTCTCAAAGAAAGAGAAAGAGAAAAAACAAAAAGAAAAGCAAAGATTGGTGTTGGGTGTGTAGCTCAGTGATACAGTGCTTGCCTGATAGGCACAGACGTAGGTCTAAGCCCCAGTCCTTAAAAATAAAAGTCAAAAATGCCAGGAGGCTAAGAGGAAGGAGGAAGTGACGGGCAAGTATCTGCACCCTTTCTCCATCCCTGTCTTTGGAAGGGAGTTGAGTAAGAAACCCACAGGTGATCAACCAGATGAGTGCCAAATACACCATCATATCGTAGCCTGACTTTTCCTTTCCACATCCTAATTTCTATGTTGTTTCCCCCTCTGATCAAAACTTCTATGTGGTGGTTGCTAAGGGGTTCATTGACTATTTGTTATTTTTATTTATTGCTATTGTCTTGTTTTGAGATGGGGTCCCCCATATCACGGGCTGCCCTCAAACTTGCTCTGTAGCCAAAAGCGTCTCCCATTCTTAAGTACTGGGATTACAGCCCTCTCCTTCCACACCTAGCTACCAGAATTTCTATTTCTACTTGTTTCTTGAGCCAAAAGGAATTCTAGGCTACTCCCGTGATGCAGTTCCAGTGGTGTGACTTTCCTACTGAATTCTTCCTTCAAGCTTGCTACAAAGCAAGCATCTGTTCATGAGAAACTTCTTTATTATTTCTCTGATGGGGAGGACCAAGAGCATGTGGGTGACGGTGTGTGTGTGTGTGTGTGTGTGTGTGTGTGTGTGTGTGTGTGGTGTGTATGTACATGCCTATGGAAGCCAGAAGTTAACAATGGGCATCTCCCTCAATCGTTCGACACCTTAGTTTGCTGAACCTGGAGATTAAGGATTCAGCTGAACCCCCAGCAAGCCCCAGGGATCTATCTGTCTCTGACACTGAGGTTGCAGATGCATGAAGCTGTACCGCAATGCTCAAGATCCGAACTCAGGCTCCATGCTTGCACAGTAGGCACTTTACCATGAGACATACTCCAACCCCTCAATTTTTATTTCTTTTAAAACATATCAACCAAGAGCACTCCACAAAAATCAATGAAGACAATGCCTACAGGGGAAAAATGTTTTTAAAAGGGGGAAGAGGATCGGGGATAGGAGAAAACTAAATTTTCGGAGTATTTTATTAATTGTTTATTTTATTTCTATTTCCACATTTGGATCATTAGCTCGAGTTACAATGACACTTCTCAAATGATTTTGAGAAATGAAAAAAATATTTACCCACAGAAATATTTTCCACGCTTGTGAACATGTGCCTAGGGCTTGCTACATCAGCAGGCTTGTTTGTTCTCTCAAACATGTATAATTTCACTTTTAAAATACATTTTCTGGTTTTGGAAAAATGTGTTTAAAAGCAGGAACAAGCCCTTCTCTTCAGTGGAGTACATGAAAGGCTTCTCTGTTGCCTCCTCTCCTGGAATGGTAACAGGCTGACCCTAATTTCACTCCTCTAAATAGAGGACCGGTGGTTTGAGCAGGAAATCTAAATCTGGCCTCCAAGGTAGCCCAGTGATTTTCCAGGTCAAGGCAAAGGGAGAAAGCAAAGCTGGAAGGCTTGGGAGTCCTCTTCCAGATACCAACATGCCCAGCGCTCGATGGGAGAGGTCTGCCACCTAGTGGAATATAGCGGCCACTGATGCTACTTGTATTCCTTTCTGGCCTCAAAAAGTAACTGTGTGGAAAAACCACATTGGACACCATGAATGTGTACAGTGACTGTGTGTTATTTAAAAATAACAAGTTTAAAAAGTAAGTGTTTCTACAGACAAATCTAACAAAGTTTCATGGTTCAAAGTTTCTGTTAATGCCGGGTAGATTAATAGAACAAATAGTACTCCACCAAGTGGTGGCTGGCATTCAGAGCCAAGAAACAAAATGTTCCTTTTTACAAAGGGAAACTGCGCACTGCTACCACATAGAAGAAGTTGCCTCGTAAAGTAGTGTCGTGCAAAGTGGAGTGTTTTCATTTAACAACCCTCTCCTTTGACAGAGACCTGTGTATCCTGGGTGCTATTTTCCTGTACAATGAGTGGGAAGTATACTTAGCCTATGTCCCAATGATGAAAGTCACACAGCATGCTGTAAGCTCCCATGCAAGTAGCATTTTCTAACTTGCCATGTGTGTGCAGTAAGTAGTTCCTATTGTCTTTTGGAAATAACTGATGAGGTCAGAGCTACAGAGGCTGGGTCATATGACTATTCATGCTGTCTTCTTTTTCATTTCATGTGTTGCATTTCTCAGGCTATACTAAATACTTGCTATTGATTTCTATTAAAGGGGTACAGGCAGCAGAAATATTCAATAGCATAGCCCGGACCTACCCCTTCCCAACTGTAGGCTCACCTTCCAGTTGCACCTCTAATAGATGGACTGTGGGCAGGGGTGCCTTTTCCCTCTCTTGGCTTCTCCTGAGGACTGTCTGTTGAAAGCTGTCTGCTGTGAAACCACACTGCCACGTATCAGTGATACTTGGATGTTCAGTGAATAAAAGAATCTGTTGTTGTTAAGCAAATGTAAGTAACCATCCCTCTGGGTACACAACTTCATGCCACATATGACACCAGAAGCTTCATCCTGAGGCAGAGAGCCCCAAACTAGAGGCAGTTTGAGATTTAGTCTCTCTATACTTTCCCTTGTATCTCATCTCCAGCCACGAGTTAGCATCTCCTTCCCTGTGATGCTTAAATGTGGAAAGGGAAGTCGTTTTCACTGAAAGGCTCTTCTGCCTTTGGGAACACCCACATTGCCTGTAGAGTAGATTTCGGGGTCCTAGAGAAATGAGCAGAGCTCTCTCAGCATCCTAGAAGAAACAGGTGAACCCAGGGGGTGGAGATGAGATGGAGACTGCCAGGTTCCAGTCCTTTGTCGTCCCACTAAGCCCGTCCCAGGCATGGCACAGTGGTTAGAAGCAGGTACATGAAGACAGATATAAAAGGTCTCTTGACATTGACTGCTGGGGAGACTGATTATTGTCTGAAGAGGCCAAGATTCCCATATCACTGCCTGGTCATTAAGTGATGTGGGGATTTCCTGACAGATTTAAGTCACTTGAATGACAATGTCACACACTAAGATTCATGGGAGCACCTGCTTCAAGATGACAGACTGGCTGGGGGAATGCATGTCTGCTGGGGACATAGCCCTGAGCCATGGCTGTGCCTGTCTTGTAGAGCCTATGTGAAGAGATTAGGATAAGCTCATTGGAAGACATGTCCAGGGAATATGCAGAGTCTGTGACAGGCTGAGTTTGAAGGTTACTTCAGAATGCATCAAAATCCCTGAACAGTTCCATTCCAGCCCTGCCCTCAGGAGTGACAAAATCAGGAGTGACAAAATAAACCCAGTTGTTTTTGTATTGTTGTCTTTGTGGAAGCCAATTCAAAACAGGACAACAGCAAATTTAGAGAAAGCAAAGGAAGCGGTTGTTTCCAATACTGCTAACTTTGTGTGAAGGGCAGATACAAAGGTGAGGAAACTGTATAGCACCACAGGCATTCTAACTTTGAAAGTCTCTGTGATCCTCAGGGGGAAACGTAGATTTCAATGTCTCTAAACTAATTCTCTTTAAAATTTTACGTTCTTCCTGGAGATGGAGAGGTTACCCAGGGAATGGGCTGACAGCAGTGTGGGGTCAGGGGGACTAGTCTACCTGTAATGGAAATGCTCATTCAAAACAGGCTCCCACCCACTGTTTCCAATAAGGAAACCCCAGAGTAAAGACGTTTGGATCTTGTTTAGGGAACATCACCAAGGAGCTGCTGCTATTGTGGAACCAGGAAGCAGGAAAGGAGAACTGAGTAGCTAAAAGCCTTCCTGCAACCCTCTCCACATCTTCCATGACTACCCTCCAACCATCTCACTTCCTACAACTATGTGCACTGGCCTGACCTCCTTCATATCCATCTCTCCACATCTTCCATGACTACCCTCCAACCATCTCACTTCCTACAACCATGTGCACTAGCCTGGCCTCCTTCATATCCATCTTTTCCTGTGGCCACTGCCCCCCACCTGTATGCTCTACCCAACATTAGCAAGGCTTGTGCCCGTCCGTCTCTATGTTCCTGTTTCATTTTTATGAATCATATTCTATACTATGTTTAATTTGCATTAGAAAATTTCTTAATCACTTATCCGTAAACTTTCTTGTGTTTTGTTTCACACAATTTCAAGGTAAAAACACCACCCACCAAGATGTGCCATGCTAATCCTGCAACCTTGGAGTCTTCTTGGTACTGGAAACCCCTGGGCCATAATCCTCACTCATAAATGTAGATTCTGGGTACCACATGAAGCATGTCTTGTGCCCCAAATGCATGATACCACAACTGCTCAGGGAAGGCAAAAGATTGAGAAAGACTCTACAGAGCCAGCTGTGAAAAGAATGTTTGAACAATGGTATAAATGTATGACAACAAAAAATGTATTATTTATAAATTCTTTTCAAATGAGTGTCCTTATTCTGTCAACTGTCTGCTAAGAATCATGGAAGATGGAAGTCTCCATTCAGAGACTGCCCATATCAACAGGTCTGTGGGTGCCTCTGTGGGCGTGTCTGTGGGCGTGTCTGTGGGAGGGTCTGAGTGGTTGTCTTTGCTGTCAGTTGTAGGAAGGAACAGCCCACATAGTTCCTGCTTCTGCCTTGTCCTGATCTCTCAATGGCAGACTGTATCCAGCAAGGGGAAATAACCCTTTCCTCCATACATTGCTTTTATTCAGAGTGTTTTGTCACAGCAACAGACAGGAAGCCAGGACAATTAGGAAACAAGTCATTTTAGAAACAGACATATACCTTTAATACACATTAGCAGTAACTGTGTAGCACTGTCAGAAATAAGCTGTCTTCAGCAAGAGGCATTTTTCCCCAAAAGATACAAGGTGCACACATAAATCAGTCATACTTTACACATGTTCAATGTGGGGAGGACATTTTAATGTCATAATGAACTATGAATATCTTCATAGTTTTCATCAGCTTGAAATTCCAAAAAACATTAAAAGAATTATTTATTTCCATAATCATTATGAGTAAAAAGGAATTGTCATTCTATGTATTACTCAAAAGTACCATAACCCTGAAGACAAAGGAAAGTCCATTCCTTTCCTTACATAGTATAAAAATACTGAGACAAGAGCAGGCATCAGTAATACAAACCAAACTATATTTTAGAATGAGTTTCATAAACACAAGTTCATCTTTTCTCTTCGGTTCAAAAAATAAAAGAGGTAGGCTAAAGTCAATGATTCCCATTTCACTAGATTTTTTTCGAAAGTAATTATAACAAATTACAAGAAACCAAATGAGTATATAAGCTAAATCTTAAAATGTTAAGAGTATATATGGTTTTTTGAGACAGGGTCTCACTGTGTAGCACTGGCTGTCCTGGAACTCACTATGTAGACCAGGCTGGCCTTGAATTCAGAGATCCACCTGCCTCTTCCTCCCAAGTGCTGGGACTAAGGGCATGTGCCACCACTGCCCAGCTAAGACTATCAAATATCTTCTTATAGAAGAAATAAGAATCTCTCTAAGTTCTAATAAAATATAATTTACTACAAAATCATCTTTAGTAAAAAAAAGTTAAGCGTTGTCGATATTACAAATTTCTTGCCATCTTCCTAAATCTTGAGGCAAGTGACAATGTGGGTGGCTGTGTATGTTCCCAGACTGAGCCTCTCATTCACACACAGAAGGTGAACATGCACTACAGGCCAACGGTGCTGGTGCTTTGTGTCACCCCACTGAGAAGCACAGCTTCGAAGGACTTCAACCGTGAGAGTGAAGTGAGGGTGTCATTTACCTGAAATTAACACTCAAGTCATGAAAAGAGCAGTCTCAGATCTCTAAGAAGGTCCTGGGAGCCTTCCTGATTAAGAGAATTTGATTCAGAGATTAAACATTAAAAAAAGAACAAAACCAGGACACTCTCTGGGAAATGGTACAAGTCAACAGTTCTGTTCACTGATGATTTTTAAAAGCAATGGCAGAATAAATAGGATTTACCAAATAACTCGTATCGATAGTTTAACAACCTGACAATCAACGTCTAAAATTGGGACCAAAGAGCAATGCAAGTAGCACAGAAGAGGACCCACTGAGGTGAACAGTGTCTCACTGCTCCTCCACGTGCAAACCTTGTCACTATAATTCATCCCTACTCTGCTTACAGATGAGGATATAAACTGTGAAAGACTGATTTTAAATACAGTGGTTTTCCCCCACTAATATTCCTGTTTGTATAGATGTTTTACATCTATAAAAACATGCAAAATATATAGAACAATTTAAGTTCCAAGGCTTTCTAATCATTTTGGTTTTGTTTTTTTGTTTTTTTTAATTGGGTATAAACAAATTGACATAAACCTGAACCAATCGGAACAAAGATCAGTGATTTATAATTCTACCACACAAAATGATTTCAGCTTAAACAAGCACATTTTCAGATTTAGGGTGCAAGGCACGGTTCTTTATCAGCAAATATAAAGTACAATTTTGTGGCTCCTTCAACACTTATTGAAACTGTGATTTTGGAACATTACTGAAGATATAAAACTAAGCCCAAATGCTTGCAGTGATTCTGAGTGTCTCTCTTCCCAGATGTCACTGGAGAGTGCTGACAGCTTTGGTTATTGTGGAAAAGAAGGCTCGGGTGTGTCACTTCTGAGCAACTCCTAGAGTCTGCTTCATATTTTCATATACCACATAGCTGATGCCAACAGCGGGGAGCACCTTCATGAAGTTTGGGGTGATTCCTCTGTAGAGGCCTGACACTCCTTCTTTAGAGACTATTCGCTGGAAAAGGCCAACCATGTTCAGCTGTGGGGCCCCGTCCACCATGGCTAGCAAACAGAAAAACAAGCCAACAAAAAAGATAAATACAAGTGCAGGAACCAGGCTCATCCAATATTCAAGCATGCCTCATTATTACAACAGACAATCGGGGGTTCAGAATGGCGTCTAGAATACAATGGACTGGTAAAAGTAATTCCGAAGGCAGCCCTCTTGGCTCAGTGCCTGCCAGTGAGTTACAATGACAGCCGCACTTTATGAATTGCTGTTCTAGGTACTAGGTTAATTATTTTCCATGCTAGCCCTTTGGGATAAATATGTACATTTCATAGTTGAGGAATTAAAAACTTGAAAAGATAGTGAACGTTGTCCTGAAACCCTAGTTAGCGTAACAAAACCAAGGAGCTGTGGTTGATACACAAGGCCAAGGCTGGAGCTGAGGGGGGTGGGGGATGTCACTGAGCAGCAGAGTAAATCCCCGAGTGGGTCTGAACTCCAGCTCCCAACTCCAGAGTCCGTTCTCTATCAAACATATAACCTTCTGGACATTTCTTAACTGTTTTTGCCTGTTAGCCATTTATCAAATGTGGGGGAGTGATGTTAGTATCACGCTCCCAAAGTGATCACAGGGGCTAAATGAGAGACTATACACATTCAGTTTGCTATTTAGTTTGATATTTTGCATTCCTCTCTGCAGCCATGATACCTCTCGGCTCCCCAAATATGCCACTCTGCAGGCCTGTTCCCAGCTAGCTCCCCCTGCATTCCTAGGCTTCATCTGGAGTTAGGCTAGACCTCATGCCATGAGTTGTTCTAAAGCGCCATCTTCTGGTTGGATCCATGTATTTTTTCACTCTACAGTGAGCAGATTCACACCCTACTTGCTGCATTCTCTAACTCTAGCACCCATCCGACAGACAGTGTGTCTGGTCCCAGTGATGGCTCAGAAGTGTGTTGACAAGTGACTGACTGCCTGGTTGAAGGAGAGGTTGCGAGTGGAACCACAGATGCCAGTTCTCATTCATAAGAGAAAGCACCGTAGATGAAGGAGACCAATGAAAAAGACAAACAGAAAGGAAAGACAAAGAGTATTCCATGTTTTCAAAGAGTAGGCGCCAATAAATGTCAGGAAACAGCAAGATGACAGTAGTCACTGGGTGACAGGAAAGTCAGGGTAGTGCGCCCTAGGAGCAAAGGGTTCGGTGCCAAGATTAGGGTCTGAACAGGACCAATAAACAATCCAGCCACTACATACTTTGAGAGTTTAGCAAATGCTAAATTCTTTACACATATTCCCTGTCTTTCGTCCCTATTCATGGAAGACAAAATGGGGGTTAGGGGGAGACATGGGGCAAAGACCTAAGCTCAAATCTGCTAGATGTCAACCTTATGCTCCTAAGACATGAATTATTTCTATAAAGGGGAAGCAATAACACACACACACACACACACACACACACACACACACACACAGATCCATGTGAGTGACATCAAGTGTCACCACAGCCATCCTGGAACCCAGACCCACCTTGTGCCTGCATGCGTGTCCTCACCAAAGCCAGGGGGTAACTGGCCAGCTGCCCACAGGTGCTGGACAGAGCCCCACAGCCCAGCAGTACCACCACTCCAGGGTTGACAGAGTCCTTTGCAAAGTTATCCAGCCAATAAGACTTCAAAAGCTGCCCCGGAAACAAAGAAAACAATCAACAAAGGAGATACTCAGCCATCGTTCATGCAACATAAACATCTTCAGGGCTGTTTTGTGTAGTCAACTCTTTAAAAGCAAAATATTTCAAGCATAAAATAAATATGCTAATACATAAATAAAAAAAACCCATGTACCTAATTGTGCTGGTTCGAAAGAGAATGCCCCTGTGGTGGTTTGAATTCATATGGCCCCCATAAACTCATGTGTTGGAATTCTTGGCCTATAGATAATAGCACTGTTGGGAGGTGTGGCCTTGGAGTAGCTGTGGTCTCGCTGGAGGAAGTGTGTCACTTCAGGGGTGGACTTTGAGATTTCAGAAGTTCAAATTTGTCTCCTACTGCCTGTGGATCAAACGCAGAACTCCTAGGTTTTTCTCCAAGACCATGTCTGCCTGCATGCCACCATGCTTCTCACCATGATGATAATGGACTAAACCTCTGAAAGTGTAAGCCAGCCTCAAAGATGTTTTCCTTTATAAGAGTTGCTGTGGTTATGGTGTCTTCACAGCAATAGAAATCATTACCAAGACATTACCACCATAGGCTTATAAGTTTGAATACTCGGTCCCAGTTGGTGGAATTGTCTGGGAGAAGATGTGTCACTGGGCGGGGGAGGGACTTTGAGGTTTAGACCCATTCCCATTATGTCTCTCTGACTCTTACTTGTGGATAAGGGTGTAAACTCTCAGTTACTGCTTAGCACCAAGCATGCCTACCTGCTGCCATTATCTTGACCATGTGGAAATGAACTCATCCTCTAAAATGTAAGCCCCCCCAAAATTTTTCTTTTATAGGTTGCCTAGGTCATGACATCTTATCAGAACAATAAAAAAGCAACTAAGCAGCCACTTTGGAAATCAGTATGGAGATTCCTCAGGAAAATGGGAATCAATATACCACAAGACTCAGCAATTCCACTCTTAGGCATATACCAAAAAGATGCACATTCATACAACAAGGATGTCTGCTCCACTATGTTCACAGCAGCATTACTTGTAATAGCCAGAACCTGGAAGTGTAGGAGTGAGCCTAGATGCCCCTTAACTGAAGAGTAGATAGAGAAAATGTGGTACATTTACACAATGGAGTACTATTCAGAGGAAAAAAAAAACCAAAGGAATCTTGAAATTTGCAGGCAAATGGATGGCACTATAAGAAACCATACTGAGTGAGGTAATCCAGTCACAAAAAGAGAAACATAGTATGTACTCACTCATTTATGGATTTTAGACATGAATCAGGGGAGTGCCAGCACACAATCCCACTGCCAGAGAGTCTAGGAAACAGAACCTTCATCCAGAGACTGATGAAAGCAGAGGCAGACACCCACTGTTAAACACTGAACTGAACTCCTAGAATCCAGTGTCAGAAAGAGAGAACTGATGGGCAAAGGAGTTAAGCGTGGGCTGGTTTAACCCACAGAAACAGTTGACCTGAACAAGGGGGAGCTCTTGGACTCCAGATTGATGGCTGTGTGGAAAGCATGGAACTGACCTAGACCCCCTGAATGTGGGTGTGAGTGAGGAGGCCTAGGTACTCTATGGGGCCTTGGGTAGCATTTATCCCTGACTTACAAATAGACTTTGAGTGCCCATCCCACAATATGGGAGGCTCTCTCAGCTGGGACTCTTGGGGGAGGGCCTAGGCCCTGCCCTGGATGAAATGACAGTTACTGGAGATCCACCATGAAGGACCTCACCCTCCTTGGGAATCAGAGTGGAGATTGGGTGGGGGACAAGAGGTACCTGGTGGGGAGAGCAGGGAAGGAGGGGAGAGAGAGGGAGCTGGGATTGACATGTGAAACAAGATTGTTTCTAACCTAACTAAAACAAACAAAAAAAGTAACTAAGACTCTAGCTTAATTTTTTATTTATTTTTTGCTTTTGTTTGTTTTTTGGAATTGTAGTTCTCAATGGAAAACTTGAGGTCTGAGAGGAAGTAGGATGTTATATTCCAAGTACTAAGACAACAAAAGGACCCTGTTAACCAAGAACAGTATATTGACAAAACTGCCTTTTGAATATAAAGGAGAAAGTAAGAGCTCCACCAATAAATAAAACTGAGAGAATGTTCCACCATTAGACCTGAAAGAGATGACAAAAGGAATCCTTCAATCTGAAACAAGAGAGCAATAAGCTAAGCAGCAACCCAAAACATGAAAAGTCCATGGTAATAGTGACTAAAGAGAAAATTATAGCCTATGGTGTTGTAAATAACTTGAAATCTGGTATGGAATTCAAAAATAAAAGATGACAATTCATTGTAAAACCATGTTGGGGGACACACTATGAAAAGATGACTTTTGATGACGTTTGTTATCAAAACAGAGCAGGGATGGCCAGGGGTGAAGGAGTGGTCTTTATACACAATTCTGATTGACTTGAGATAGGTCGTTGCAATGTCAAGATGATTTGTAGGAGGAGTTTAGGAGTGCTCCCTATGTTTCTATTTTATGTGAAGAGTTCAAGAACCAGCAGCAGGGCTGGGCGTTGGTGGCGCATGCCTTTAATCCCAGCACTCGGGAGGCAGAGGCAAGCGGATCTCTGTGAGTACGAGGACGGGCTGGACCGACAGCCTCCTAAACAATACAGAGAAACCCTGTCTCATAAAAACCAAAAACAAACAAACAAAAAAAAAGAACCAGCAGCAATCACTCATCATTGTTACAGAGCTTGCACATAACTGTAAGTGTCCATTATGCACATGGCTGTCAGTGTCACTCTTAGTTCGGTTCAACAGACATCATAGTTGGTTTCTTTACTCCAACATCACCCCAAATATGTGGGTCATGCTTTGAGTCACTGATGCTAAGACACATAGAACAGCAGCATATTCTTCATTAATGAAAGTAAATATGCAAGGAAGTATAATGCAAAAAAAAAAGGCTCAGTACATTTGTGATCTCACAATCAGGGTGCTGGAAAGATCAAAGAACACACCTACGGGCAGTGCAGTCATGAACAGTTCTCTCCCACAGGCAACCAGTTATCCAGCATGCAGACTACCTACACTGCAGACTGGGGCATGCTGTACCCTCACTCACCTCATACACGGCGAGATCGATGCCTGCATAAGGAATGATGCCTAGTAAGTTGGGAACATAGCCTTTGTAAAAAGCCCCAAAGCCTTCCTGCTTCAAAATCTTCTTGGCACAACCGTATATTCCAGAATATTGTCCAGTTTTGGCTACAGCTAGCCGGGTTTTCAGAACCTAGATAACCAAAGAATGCAACACAATATCATTCACATTTAACATCGAACGATTCAAAAATATTGATTTTATGAAGCACTAGCAAATTCTATTTCTAAAGAGAATGTTCAGTCCATTGATAGATTCACTCTCATGCATTACTTCCATTGAGAAGCTAAATTCAGAGCCAGGAAGGGCCAGTTATTTCAAAGACAGTCTGAAAGTCTGAAGGAGGGTTTTGAGAAAAAAAAACCCTGCAGACCAGATAATCTTTTTGATGCCAAAATAAAATTAATTGGCCAGAAAGGTGAATAAAGTGTTGGCATAGGGGCATAGGGGACAATTCCATAGTCTTCAGCTTGGAGCACAGGCTGGGGAGATGAAGGGGCAGGAAGGTGATGGTATTAGTTGAAATGAGGTGTGTTGGGGGTAATATAAAAAAATCTCTGCAGTCTCAGAGGTAGTTCAACCTACAAAGCACTTATGGCAAAAACATATGGACATGAGTTTGACACCCACAAAACCCACTTAAGAAGCCAACCATGGGAGTGGATGCCTGTGACCCCTGGGGAGGTTAGACAGACAGCTCTCTGGTACTTGCTGACCTGTCAGCCTAGCCTATAGCAGTGAACTAAGGCCAGTGACAGACCCAGTCTCAAAATACAAGGTACACAGTGCCTCCTGATAAAAGACACCTGGGGTTGACCTCTGGCCTCCATAGGCACATGTACACACATGTACGCCGTCAGAAACATGCCTGCTCATGCACACACAGGTGCACAAATCTATTGGCATGAGTATCACAAAGAGATTCCAGTTAAAGGTATATTTTGCTTAAGTCTTATAAGCTAATTAAAAACCCTAGTTGTATCCATAAAATTATCCACACATACAATATTAGTTTTGCTGTAAAGCAGGAGTTGGCAAACACTTTTTGCAAAGGACAAACAGTAAATATTTCAGTCTTTGCTAGCCTGAAATACGAGGTCTCTGATATGCATTCTTTGCTTTTCCTTTGCTTTCTTCCTGCCTTTTTTCAGGTGTAACAATTGGTAGCTGAGGCTGAGCTAGCCAGCCCATGCTCCTCTGGAAGGATGTCCAGTCGTTATTACCACCCTACAACCAAAGCCTCAGCTTCCACTACTGGGTGTATGGTATAAAAACTCACTGGAGAGGAATGAGAGCTATAACCCTTATCAACACCGTGGCAGCCAGCCTCTGAGATGGCCCCTAGGGGTCCCGTCCCCAGGGACGCTCTGCTTTGCAGGGTCCCCTCACACACAGTACCAAGGTCAGTCTGTACAGTGAACGTGACAACAGACAGCAGTTTAATCCCACACAATCTCTCTTCTCACTCACATCACACAAACTGTAAAGGAAGCCAGGTTACCATGCTGTGAATATACACAGACCATCTATAAAGGCTTGCTTAAGAGACAGAGGCTTCCAGCCAACAGCCAAAGAGACCTGGCGGCAGCCTCCTGAGTGAGCCTGAGAACAGATCCACCCCAGGTTAGTCTCTAGATGACTGCAGTCCTGGATGACACCTTGATAAAAGGTGATAAAACACTTGGAGCCAGGCAAACCCAGCTGTGCTGCCTCAGATTCCTAATTGCCAGAACTGTGAGATGCTAAAGCCTTGTTTTAAATTGTTAAGTTTGGGTTAACCTAATACACATGCTAGCCAGTTCAAATGCCATCAAGCAGTCAGGCCACAATGGTACTTGCCTCCATGGGATAGATAAAAGTCTGTGCGGTTGCTCCAGCCATGGAACCAGAAACGAACCTCTCAAAGGTTCCTAATTTTTGTCCTTCCTCTGTGAGCAACTTCTTGTACTGTAAAAAGTAAGTTTTAAGATGCACATTAATCTTGGCTTTAGAGTAACTGTGCCCCACTCCCAAATTCTTATATTAAACCCTAACCCCCATTGTGACAGCATTAGGAGATAGGGTCTGTGGGGACAATTGTGGTTAGAAAAGGTTCTGAGGTCTCAGGATAGAACTAGCATCCTTATCAGAAGAGGTTTCAAATTAGTCCATCACACAGCTGGCAATATAGCTCAGTGATCAGCCTGGCACATATAGTAACACTAAGTGCAAATTCCAGCATCATTAAAAAGATGAAGGGGAGAGGAAGGAAGGAGGAAAAGAAAGAAGGAAGGAAGGAAGGAAGGAAGGAAGGAAGGAAGGAAGGAAGGAAGGAAGGAAGGAAGGAAGACTGTTGGAACAGCTAGATTAAGAATCTGACAAATGTTATCAAGTGTGCTGTGTGTGGACTTTCAGATATAATGAGCTTCCTTATATTAAAATAGCAGCATTATTTTTTAATATTTTCCTATCACAAAAGTGGTCAGGCATTCAAATCAGGAAAATCGTTTTCCCCAGAATAGGCTCCACTTAAAGACCCTAGGCCAGCTGCTCTTCTTTATTTCTTAAGTCAAGGAATGAACACCACTAGTCGTGGTCATTTCAAAAGGATGGTACTTCTCAAGGACAATCTCTCCAGAATAGCATTAAACTTACTCAAATAAGAAACTAGGATGTGGAGTTAACTTTAAGGCTCATATAGGCCATGTTGAACAATAATGGTAAAGAAGACAGAAGGAAAAAAATTGCATAGCAACTCCAATGACTCTGTAGAAGCCCAACCTCTAAACCCACTACTGTGTTTCAATCTAGTCAACAGAGAGGGAGGCAAACGCCTTCATTTACTATCTCATACATTCACTCAAGAAACACTGGGCACTTCACCTGTGCTGGGCTCTACCTGGCTGCTGGACCCCTGCCTTCATGGAATTTTCAAGCTAAATGCAATTCCATTCATCTGAACAGTTTTCTTTCCAGGGGTAGGTACTTTTGTAAAACTTAGATTAAGTGTCCTGTGCCCACTAGAATTCAAGACAAGTCAGCTAAAATCAGGCTTTGAGAGGTTACTTAGAAAAGAGGTGGGGGGAAAGCCTCCCTCAATAAAAGGTATATAATCCAAAATCCCAGAATTCAGCTGTGTGGAATCATTGAGTTTACTGAGTTCTAGTCTCCCATAAAGAATTTCCTGGTGGAATTTTAGGAACCAATACCCAAAGCATTGCCTGCTGATCTTTACTGAATCAGTTAGCTAACTTCTTTTGTTACCACTTTCACAGATAATAGCAATTACCTGTTCATAAGCCCAGAACTTAACAGCTGTCTCGGGAGCGATTTTAATGACATTTGTGCCATTTCCTCTCCAAAGAGAACGGATTCCTCCTTCCTTTACCATCTGCCGAAAGCCTCCAAATATATTCATTGATTTGGAACCATGAACCTAAAAATAAAAGCAATGTGTCATGGGATACTTCTGCATATTGTGGAAGCCATTTCTAAAGTAGGTCTGAGCTGAATACAAACACTGGATACCGGATGCTAAAACCTCCAGAGGGCGTCTCTGATGGGCTGTAATGCTCCGCTCATCACACCACATATTCACACCAGGAAAGAAAGGCATTAGGGCTGCACAGGCAGAACAGATCTACATTTGGAACATTCCTGGACTCAGCCCTCTGCACTTCCTTTCCTTGAATAATCTGAACCCTTATTTCTTCCCTGTGATAAACCACGACCATGAGTCTGTACTTTCTGAGACATCTAGTGAAAAATAAAATTAAAGAAGACATTGAAAAGCCCTTCAAATGTGTAGAAACTACAATCTGAACAAACCCACTTCATAGTAACATATGACAAAGGGGAAGATGTGTGCCTACTCAAGCTTTCTCAAAGTCAGTTTACTACTGCACAAAAGAAACAAAAGCATCTATCCTTTTTGTTCAAACAACTTAAAAATAAAAGTGTTGACTACATGGATGTCCAACAATAACAAGCACAACCTTAAAAACATTTTTAAGCAAGTGCAGAAAGAGCACAGGCTGCTCTGACAGGGGGCGCAGGTTTGATTCCCGGTCCATACACAGCAGCTTACAAGCATGTGTAACTCCAGCTTACAATCATGTGTAACTCCAGCTTACAAGCATGTGTAACTCCAGCTTACAACATGTGTAACTCCAGTTTACAACATGTGTAACTCCATCTTACAAGCAAGTATAACTCCAGCTTATAACCATGTGCAACTCCAGCTCCAGGGAATCTGGCACTGCCATTTGGGATCTGTAGACACAGCACAGATCTGTGGGCACAACACACATGTATACATCTGGGCAACACACCCATACATATAAAATAAAATAAAAACCTTTTAAAGCAACTGCTATGTTCTTCTAAATTATTCCAGTATGCCAGTGCTTATATGGGTTAAAGTTTAGAGCCGTCTTTGTTAGATACTCTGAGTCCCGTTATGGAATGGAGGAAACAGTGTCTCAGAAGTCAAAGAACCAAGAGTCTGGAGGTGCAGCTATGTCGTGGCTCATCTATTCGTCTTCACAAAGGAAATTCTAACTCTTACAGCCTCAGTTTCCACATACACAAAATGAAGGCAAACCACCCACTTTACTGAGCTCCTGTGAATATGAACTGGTGAGCACAAATGGATATTTCTTCCTTCTCTTCTCTCCAGGTGACTAGCCCAACGCCAGAGAGTAGCCAGGTCTGTCTAACAACCCAGGTCTTTTCTGCTAACATTACCTCAAGAATCACTTCTGAAATTATATTCTCATCACCAAGATTCTAGACTTGAGAAATCCTCTGCTTTCTCAAGTCATAAAATCAAAGAAAATATGCGTAATTTAATGGGAACCCTGGAATACCAATGAGGTTTGCTTTATTGTTATTTAATTAAACATTTCAAGTCACAGCATACCAATGACTAAGATTTCATTACACACAACTACCAACAATTTACAGTTTAATGCAACAGTACCAGACACTTAGACACGTGCCTAATCTGAGGGTTAATAGTAGCAGAACATAATTTTCTAGGATACGAAGGACCATGGCTGGACATACAGGCTGGTACACTACAGGACTCACCTGCATCATGACCTTGAGGCGATCCAAAGGTGCTGTGCTTGTTCTAGAGACTGCGCCAGCCACGCCTCCTGCCAGCAGCTGCCGCCACCACTGTCCTGATTTTTTCTCATCTTCTGTGAATTCATCCGGAATAGTTAAGCTATCCCCTATGTCAATGCCCTGGTAAAATGGAAAGAGATCCCACAGTTCTTCAGTCCAAAACAGACAAGCCCAGAACTTTCTTTTCGGAGAGGTTACCTTAGGATCAAGGTTCTCCTTTTGGTTCTGACAATGAACCAATCTGAGCACACATTAATGAGCATCTAGCCACACTGAACTGGAAACTCAGTTACAAAGTCACACCTTTGCCTTTTCTTCAGATCAGATGACTTTCATTGGACTGAATATTTACCACATTTAGTTAATCCTTGTCAGTCACTTTTCACAATTCTATAAAACCACACAGTTGGTGACAGTTTTGAAAAACGACTTAGTCAATACTTCAGACACTCTATTTGTCTGGTCTCATGACACTCTGTGCCATGAAATATATATAAATTTAAATATGTAAATTTAAAACTAATCCTTGCACATAAACAGCCCTATACTCATCTACATAGCTTGAGAGCAGTTTTATTATTATGATACTTTAGCAATTTACTTGTCTAAAAGCTGTGGTGGAAATGAGTAGGTCATGGAGCACTTTCTTAGCATGCTCCAGGTCCCAGCACCAAATGCAAAAAAATGACCTTAACATAAAACTTTATGGGCAGGAATGAAAGGTAATGAATGAGCCACACTTTGGTAGTAATGCCCTCTTCTTTATCACCAAGAAAACTGATTTACGATTATACCATCAAATGTTATCAACTATCCCCAAAGACATAATACAAAGTTCATGTAGTGTAAAATTTATACCCATAATTGATTTTATAATGCTCTGTGTAAGCTTAGGCATTGTTACTAGTGACAACGTGAGCCCTAGGTGTATGGCGTGGGAGTCCAAGATACTTCTCTCCAAGTACAAAAGACAAGACCGTGGGCCGAGGGGCGGGAGACCATGCAGAGGGTCCCCAAGGGCTTCAAGGAACAGACTGCACAACAGAACTAATTTGCACACATATATTTTAGCAGAATGTTAATGAAGCGATCGCAATGAAATTTTGTGAAGCATGCACTGGCATGAAATGCCAAGCACATGAGTCAAAATTGTTCTCTAGCATTCAATGAGTAAGGCAGTCCCTTATGACAGCGATAAATCTAGGCAGCCTGACTGAATAAGCAGTTTTGGGAGGGACCCGGGGCCGTGTCATCTTTAGAAATCAGGAAGTGCAGAGATGATTTGGTAATACATGTCTTCTGACTTTGAGACTTCCCTGTGGCAGAAGCATTAAATGTCAATGAAACCCGGGCAGCCTGTTCATCAAGATGGGACTTCTCTCAACTTTTGTGAAAAGCCATGCTTATGTCACCTTGAAGGCTTTAAAGATGCTCTATAAATCTATGCCTAGTAGAACAAACAGAATTCTAGAAGTTAAATGTCTACTGGGAGTCTCTTGGGACTTGGCCACCTTTCCTAGGGTGTTACTGCGTTCTTGGGTGGTAACTGTTGTAAATCAGGGGTCCACGGAGAATAGGTGACTGCTAAGACTGACAGCCTGACAGAACTTCAGTGATGTGGAAAGGTGACCATGTCGCTAGACTAGAGCCAACCTGTCTCAACTACCTTAATCCCCCTTAATGTGTATTTCCTGCCCACCTCTGTGTTTGACCTAACATCCTTGTGACTACTAGGTAAACCCTTTGGAAGGTATGAACAGACCCCTAGGTTCTACCAATCCAAGGGCTAAGATCACACAGCACCTGAAGTCCATAGAGAAATTCCATCTATAAGCCGTCTACCTGATGTTTCCACCAATGTATTTGAAAAGTGTCTTGATTTATGATTTTCTTTGCTGTGTTACTGTAAAAACATCATGAAACCATTTTGATATTAGAACAGTGAATTTAGGCTAACCTGAGTCTATGTTCCCTGGCCAGGGTCCCTCTTTTAGCTACAAAACAAATTATCTCTTGTCCACTTTAAGGTGAAAGCTGTGTTTCCTCCGTCAACACTATACCCGAGACTTAGAGCTACAGATACAGAAAGCAAACTTACAGTAGAGTGCTTCCAGAAACGGATAATTTCCTCGATGTCTGAAACGGGGTTAAATAAAAAGTAATCCCTCCATTCATTCCAATCCACTGTCATTGTCCCGTCAGAGTCGATGCTGAAAGTTTGAACAGATGGCTCAAGAACAAGGCATGAACACAACTAACAACATTGCCCATTTTACAGAATGAAATTTTGTTTCCAGGTTAATATTCTTGTTGAATTTTTAAAACCCATTGGCAGGTTTAAAATGTTCATTAACAGAGCATTCAGTTAGCAGGCGTGAGGCCCTGGATTCCATCCTGAAGAAAAATATACCACTCACAATTATACGTTGCTGGCAGTAGAATCATGTATGTTATGATCCTTTCTGTCTATTCACTATTTGGAGAAAACCATGTCCAAATATTACAGAGAAATCCCCACTACGGACTGCCTTTAGCCCTCTGTCAAACTCAAAGTCACTAGGCTAAAAAACACAAAAACTGGACAATGAAATATTGAGAGGTATGAATGGATGAATTCATGGCACATTTTTCCCTCTCACAAGCTCGGGGAATTTTTTCTTAATATCCTAAGACTGAAACATTGGGGTGTGATTTTTGAAATAGATTCTAAATATGCTGTCAGTCTTCTCCAATTTTTATCAGGATAAGAAAATTAGCAGTGATTCTAAGAAATCAAATTCTTAATGCCTGATTACTTTGAGAAATCCTGGTATCTCTTCAGTTCTAAACCTAGCTCCCTGTCATCTTACATGTGTAAGCAGTAATATAAACTCTGAGGGCTTTTTTTCTTGTTTTGTTTTAACAAGCTTCTTGACAGAAAGCCTGTTCTATAAGATTTCCCTAAGAACAATGCAAAATCATTCCGAGTTTGATTGCATTGTTCAGTACAGATAGCTACTAACGTGACAGCAGCATGTATTGGATTAACATGACTGAAAAAAATATGTTGGTATTTCCTCAAATTTTATTCTATAATTTATGTGACAG